CAATCCATTTTTGAGAATCTGGCTAAAAAAAAAAAAAGACTCGTGGCTTGTATATGATGAGATCCTAAAGCTTATGTTCTGCGTCCTGTGGCACTGACAACTTTAGGGCTGGGTTTCTCAGAGCACAGCATCTCCACACAGCATCTCAGAGCACAGCATCCCACACAGCATCCCGGCACAGCATCTCCACACAGCATCTCAGAGCACAGCATCCCACACAGCATCCCGGCACAGCATCTCCACACAGCATCTCAGAGCACAGCATGCCGGCACAGCATCCCACACAGCATCCCGGCACAGCATCTCCACACAGCATCTCAGAGCACAACATCCCAGCTCAGCATCCCAGCACAGCATCCCGGCACAGCATCCAGCACAGCATCGGGCACAGCATCCAGCACAGCATCCCGGCACAGCATCCCCACACAGCATCTCAGAGCACAGCATCCCAGCTCAGCATCCCGGCACAGCATCCAGCACAGCATCTCAGAGCACTGCATCCCACACAGCATCCCGGCACAGCATCTCCACACAGCATCTCAGAGCACAGCATCCCGGCACAGCATCCCGGCACAGCATGCCGGCACAGCATCCCACACAGCATCCCGGCACAGCATCTCCACACAGCATCTCAGAGCACAACATCCCAGCTCAGCATCCCAGCACAGCATCCCGGCACAGCATCCAGCACAGCATCCGGCACAGCATCCAGCACAGCATCCCGGCACAGCATCCCCACACAGCATCTCAGAGCACAGCATCCCAGCTCAGCATCCCGGCATAGCATCCCGGCACAGCATCTCAGCATGGCTCAGGCCAGGCCTTCACTGATGGGAGCAGCAGATGGTCCTCTCGTGAACAGAGCCCCCAAGGAGCTGGCAGTGGGGACCACGAGCCCAGTAAGCCTGGGCGAGTCCAGAACTTGCTCTGATCCTGCCATGCTATCACCAAGACCCTACGCCCGCTCCGAGATTCTATTTGGATGTGCAAGCTGGTTGATATGAAGGGTGTCGATATTGGCCCCCATTCTGAGCTAACACATCAGAACATTCACATATTGTATTGGTAAAGGAGATCGGGGATCTGAGAGAGAAACTAGAGAGAAGTGAGTTGTCCTCTGTCCTCGGGGATGGGCTCTCAGCCAGAGCGACGGAGGACGCTGAACTCGTCTATGTGCAGTTTGCACAGGGAAGGCGCTCTGCCAGCTCGTTGGGGTACAAACAGCAGAAAGAAGGATCCTCTGACCATCAGAACTGCCACTGAGAAAATTCTAGAGAGAAATCCTCAGCTTGGGCTGTCGGACCCAGACTGGGCCAGGAAGCTGGCTGGTTTGGGAAGTGATGGTGCTCTGGCTCAGGGGGAGAAAACAGCGGGTGGCCCTGCCTTTAAGAGAAATCCAGCCACGCGTGCTGGCTGTGTGTTGCTGAGCACATCACCTTGAACTCTCACAAGGCGGAGTTCACAAGCGGTCCCCTGTGTCAGAGACCTCCTCCACAGCGCCTGTCACTTCTACCAAGTTCACTGCCACCTAAGAGCCTCCTGGTAACTGCTCTCAGAGGCCTTCACCTTCATCCTGCGATGCCTCCGAGGGTCGGAGGCAGGAATGGCTGCAGGATGACAGGCAGACCTCCACACCTCTCCCAAGGGATACCCTGCAACTGTCCAGCAACGGTGTTCAACTAACACGCTTAGTTTTTCAGAATAATGGAAATATTTTTATTGAGCAATTCAAAATGATACTTTTGAGAAAGATAGACCAGTCTTTTATTCCCCACCTGTGTTACAGACAGGAGGGAACAGAAGTCATACCGGTCGTGAGAGAGCCCAAGGACTTGCAGGGTTCCTTTTCCTAATAGACATCGTTAGCTTTGTTCCTTTCCTGGTGGATGTCATTCATGAGCTTAGCATCCTGTCCCATGTCAGCCAAAGCGAAAATGCTTCAATCACAGGGGTACTTGTTACCTTGGAGTCAACGTGGGAAATGCTCTGAGCGTGTCAGACATCAGATGAGGTGAGGGGTCGGGGATGACCTCTTGGGACACCATTGGCCAGGAGCTTTTCCATGTAACGGCCATGTGGGCATTTTGATTCTCCCAGCCCAGGGCCAGGAGAACTGGGGTGGCTTCAGGCGCACACGTTCATGGTAACTGCCTCAAAGGAAAGGAAACTTTTCTACTTTTCTGGGGTGAGAAACACTGTTCTGACACATCTTGTCAGGAGGCTGCGAGGCTGTTTCAAAGATGCCAGCCACGATGTAGTGAAGGCAGAGTGACTGGAAGCTTTAAATCGCAGCCTGCAAAGATCAGTCAAGGAACCTGTATACGCTGACTCTGAACCTACTGTTCTTTGATCGTCTGCTTGAGTGTTTTCTCTAGAAGTAACTTTTCGTTTGCATACTGATGGCAGAATTCGGAGATAAAGAGGTGTCTGTCCTGATGGCACATTATGGACCAGTATTGGCAGCTGCCAATGTGCAAATCAATGAAGTGCCCACTGCGTGGAGCGTGCTGAAATTAGAGACTTACGTTGGGTGAGCATCAGCAAACTAGCGGATCCTTACAAACATTAGAGTAAAACTTGGGAGTCTCAACCTTGCACATTTTCACTCTCCCTCCTAGGTTACAGGACAACCACGAATTGACCTGAGATGATGTGCCTTAGGCTTCCATATACAGATATCCAAATACCCTGACCACAGTGGACCTTGTGCTCACCCTCCCAGCAAACTCAGCAGGGCTTTTGTCAGAGGCATGCCAAGGTCAAGGCTGATGGCATGTCAGATCTCCTGACTACTCAACCGAATTCTCCAGACATTAATAGTGTTGACCTCAGGAAAGCTAGCCATTTATGGAATAAGAGAATGCTATCTTCAGCTGGTGACACAAGACCTAACTTGGATTGCTCATCCAACTCAGGAAGCCATGATGAAAGTAACTAGTAATATGACAAATGTTGACTTCATCTTTGATCATAGCAGAAACAAAAAAAATTATTATCGAGCCCAAAATATAAAAGTCAAACCATCACCAGTCTTCGCATCAAAGACAAAAGGCATTTGGTATCTCCCATACATGCACACTGAAAATCCAAAACTTGGTTTTCCAATACCACTCTGATTCTCCTTGTATCTTCACACATTCTTTCACAGTCTTTGAGTGGAGGTGTCTATTTCTAAGCAATGGTGTTATTTTGATGCTATCTTTCTGAGAGTTGTGTGGACAGATCATATCACTGTATGCCTTGGTCATTTAAGTAACAGGATAAATATTAAAATGGTTTTTTACAGTTCACACTAATGTCCCCAGGTAAAGAGTTCCTATGTAACTAGAAGTATTGTCATGCATCCATGGCCAGTGTGGCTCAGTTGGTTGGAGTGTCCTCCTGTGAACCAAAAGGTTGTAGTTTTAATCCCCAGGTCCAGGCTCGCCTCATTGGGAGGCGATCAATCAGTGTTTCTCTCTCTCTCTCTCTCTCTCTCTCTCTCTCTCTCTCTCTCTCTCTCTCTCTCTCGTCCCCTCCCCCCTCCCCCCCTTTCCTCCCTTTCTCCTCCCGCCTTTCCTTCCCCTCTGAAAAACTGTATTGTCTTGCAACACTTTGCTTGTACCATAGCTATTAGAGACAGTGGAAATATTTTCTACATCTACCAGAATTTTTAAGTATTTTGAGCCTCTTCATGGTTTCAAAAGAGGTTTTTTATGGTTTTATATTGAGAAACATGAATGTTTATTTCTAAGTTACCTGAAAACCAATGTGATATCATGTAAAGATTGTTTACCTTGAAAAGTATTCTCATCTCTATAAAATTGAATATTCAGGTTTGATTTTAAAAAAGATAAAGAATTTACTTCTGAACAACCAGCTGGATGGCCAGTCAAATCAAAGAAAATCATATTCTGCTCTTGCTCCCCAGAAAATTACAGTCCAAATCTCAAAATTGTAGATTTGGTTTGAGCCACTGAAATTTTGCATGATTACTGCATGCTGCTGAAGGTTAAAGGAGATGACAAAGTTTATTTTGGACTTTTATAAATGCTAAAAATTTAGTAGTAAACAGAAAATTCGAGATGCTATGTCTACAGCTTTCATTCTTTTTGTTTCTAAAAAAGAATGGCCATCCACTCTGGACCTGAAAGACACCGATACATGCAGAAGTCTCTTCAGCTCTAGCTTTCCTATCTCTTTTAAATGCATGTGCGTACAATTTAAAATGAGAAACCAACTAAGCAAACATCATTGCTGGACAGGGTAAAATAAATTAGTATATAAGAGCAAAGCATTGAAAGGTTAGTAGTAATCTTTTTAAAATTCTTTGATGCCCTGGTTGGTTTGGCTCAATGGATAGAGCAGGAGTCTGTGGACTGAGGGGTCCTGGTTTGATTCCAGCCAATGGCACATGCCAGGATTGTGGGCTCAATTCCCAGTGGGGGGCATCCAGGAGGCAGCCAATCAATGGCTTTCTTTCATCATTGATGTTTCTGCCTCTCTCTTCCTCTCCCTTCCTCTCTAAAATCAATAAAATATATATATTTTTAAATTCTTTGAAATAGTGAGCCAATTTTATGATGGAGTTAACATTTCAATCCAATAATTTAATAATTCAAATCTCCTTACATTTATAAAAACAAATATATTCTGATCTAAAGAGTGAAGTGAGGATAAGTGTGCTAACTTGATCATTGTGGTGGTTTGCATGCCTTTTAATCATCTTTATCCCATATTTTCTGCAATATTTTGCTCTTGAATCCTACTGTATAATAGAAAAGCTTATGTATTTTTAAAAATTCAACCGATTCCGAGTAAAAGGTAAAAAAAGAAAAAGAAAAAGAAAAGCCCTCCAAACTAAAATATGAAGCCCCAGGGAAGAAATAATGGGAGAGCATCAGAAAATGGATTGTTATTTTTATAATGTCTTCTGCTTCTCTAAAGGTTATTGTTTTAAATAATGCGAATAAAGTGATTCCGCACCACATGACTGAGAAATATGTTCCACTGTGTTCCAGGCATCATAGGAAACAAACTGTTCATGGACATCCTTCTGGACTTGGTGACACTGAACCTGGGGACCAACAGCCTTCCCAACAGTTGGATGCACCTCACTCAGCCTGAAGTAAGCACCCATTGTGTTCGGGTTTCAAAGCTCTGGGAATTTTTACTTGATCAATAAGTCAATAGTTTTAAGAATAGCCAGTTACTCGTGCAGCATCTGACATTTAGTAGGCAACCAGTAAAAATTGAATTTTTGATGGACAAATGTAAGACACATGCTCAGTCTTGGAAGAAGCAATGAGAATGCTGACAGTCAATGAAACATGACTGAGCCCCTGAGGCTCAGCTGCTAAGCTTGTGGCCATTGCCACCTGATAGGCCAATCCTAACTAGTAAAAGTAGATGTTTCTGGCAGTTCTTGCTTTTCATCTTCCTCTGTTTCTCAAGAATGTGTCAGAAGACAGAGTGATTAAGGAGTATTTAACTGCATGCCTTGCACAGCCCCTTTATCACTTTCTCCCTCCTCTGTTGAAAACGTGCAAAGTTAACTGGGACACACGTATACATTCTCAGAACGGTAAGCAGAAACCCAAATGTCAAAGATTCGGAAGGTGAAACGCTCTCCAGGTGATGACTTGTGTAGAGTGGCTGAAACCCTTCACCCAAATCTCTTACCAAGACCCCTGGGCAGATAGAGCATCACCCTAGAATCATACAAACATTCCAATGACATATCCTGTTTTCTTCCAGTTTCAGGAGTTGACATCTTTAATAACAGTGAACTCAGAGCTGGTGGACTGGCGGAAATTCCTGTTAGTGACCTCGCTGCCATGGCCCATCCCCCTGGAGGAGGAGCTGCTGGAGACCCTGCAGAGGTTCAAGGCCATAGACGAGGAGCAGACGGGCAGCGTCACTTACGAGCAGTACATGCAGGTGGCTAGCGACTCCCAGTTCCCACACCACTTTCGGCCTAAGAAGGCGAATGTGACTGGGACCCTTTACCAGAGCAATGCTGGTCAAAGGGGGCAGAGTCCAGATTGCGGAGGAGTGAGGGAACAGTGAGGTCTGTAGGATGAACGTAAGAAAAAACTCATTTTTGAGAAGTGTGAGTAAGGAAGGAGTGAGAGTGCAATCCCATTCCTGAGAAGGGCCTGCATGGCTCAGTGCCTGCCTGGAATCCAATTCCCCCTGCTGCTGACCAGCTCACACTGAGGGCAGACAGAGATGTCCACGCTTGTAAGGTGCTCATTTTGAAAAAAATGATACCCTGGGTGCCCGGGTCTCAGGTGCATGCTGCCACTGAAAGGTCCCCTCCTCCCGCTTCTTTCCTCCCGCAATGTACGCCAGCAGCTGCGTTCTCACGCGCTCCCCACTGAGCCAGGGGGAGGAGCACTCCCGCCATAAGAAGAGTCCTCCAGGCCGAGCAGACCAGCTCCGGAGACTAGGCTCTGACTTACGTCCCAAGTAGAGCCATTTAGGAATCCTGAGCCGGCTGTCCCAGGCCTACACCTTGGGAAGGTGATTTTCATCTCTTTGGCTCAAGACTTCTCACAGTGCGCACTGCGCAGCCACCCGCCTTCCCTGCTTACAGTGCGTGCCCGTCACACAGGATATGGACTTAAACATCCTTTCTCACAGACGTGAGATGAGCAAAGGGTGTTAGCCACTTTTACCCAAGTCCCGAGCCAAAACCGGAGAGCCCCTTTACCAAAGGCGTGCGTTTCTTAGCCAAAGCTGGCTGCGGCCTTTGGGGAAACAGAGAAATGCTTTCTTGGGCCCGTTTCAGTTGGTTTCTGAAGTCTACCCTCTCCTCTTGCCCCCACAATTCCCATTCCTAGGGAGCCCCGGAACAACGAGGCCATCTGGGGAAGCCCCTGGACCATCCCACATCCTGACTTCTACAGATTCCCAACGCTCCCCGGCTCCCCAAAAGCATGGGGACTGTCTAACAGCTTCTAGGGCAAAACTCTGCAAGATGTATTGCACAGGCCACGTGATGGCCGGGAAAGAGTGCAGGACCCCTCTTTTCTGGGACATAAAGGCTCTCTCCTCGGCTGTTTATTTTGTCTGTTGTCTTTCTTTTCTTCTGACGAACTGCGCGTTCACCACAGCAGCCACATGAGAGCGTGCTGACTTCCCGGCTCTTAGGATGGAAGGAGACACGAGGTTTGTGAGGTCAGGGCCCTGCGCCCCGGCTCAGCCTTGCATGCGAGCATGAAAGCCCGCTCACCCTGAGCTCCCCGCAGCCCTGCAGCCACCGCCACACGCCCGCCTCTGTCATGTGTGCATGTGCAGTTACTCTCGTGTTCAGCTCTGTGACGGTCAGCTCTGTGACGGTCAGCTCTCACTCCTGCTCCCGGGAAGCATTCACGTTACCCGCAGGCTTCATGCCTCAGGCGGCCTCGGGCCCAGCAGGGCGGTCATTCTTGTTTAAGGAGAGGCACTGGAAGACCAAATCCTCTGGCCATATTTTGGCAAGAGAGTTCCAAGGCATTTCCATGTTTAAGGAGGGCAGGTTGTGGTGGCCTGAACCTCGCTTTATCTATTTCAGCCCTGCTCTACCGGTTCAGGTCAGCATTTCATGTAGTCAAAGTTTTCATGGGTGATTTGTTTTTGTTTTTGTTTTGAGTGGTTGTTTTTTTTAAATATACTTTATTGATTTTTTTTACAGAGAGGGATAGAGAGTTAGAAACACCCATGAGAGAGAATCCTCTGTCAGCTGCCTCTTGGGATGTGCCCGCAACCAAGGTACATGCCCTTGACTGGAATCAAACCCAGGACTTTTCAGTCCACAGGCCGACACTCTATCCACTGAGCCAAACCGGTTTTGGCCATGGGTGACTTTTTTTAACAACATACGTTGTTTTCCAATTAGGTTATTTTGTTCTTTCTAATGTGGCTCTCTTGTGTGTGAAACTTTTTTTTAATCTTCACCCAAGGATATGCAGTTGTTTTTACATTACGTTTTGGAGAGAGGAAGGGAGGAAGGCATGAGAGAGACCACTGATCGGCGGCCTAACCAGAGGTGCCCCGACCTGGGATCCACCTGAAACCCAGGGGTGCACTCTGACTGGGAATCCAATCGGCGACCTTTCGGTGCACGGCACAATGCTCCCAGCAGCTGGGCCACACTGGCCAGGGCATGTGTGAGGCATTTGAGACAGTTTTGTAGTTTCTGAGATGCTATTAATGTTTGGAAAACTAATCTAAATGAACCATCGGTTTTACAAATTAAGGAAGATTCCTGTGCACAGAAACCGTCGGATGTGGAGTTGAGAGTTGGTTGAGCGATGGGGGAAAGGGTAGGGATCCTAGCTCTGTTTCTCTATTTCCACTCTGAGTTGGAATTTTACTATTACTATTTCCTTTTTATTGCATGGATTTTACTATTTTTACTATTTCCTCTTAATTGCATGTATTCAGCAATTTGATTGTTATGTTCCTCACGTAGTTATTTGTCTGCTTGGGGTTCATTGAGCTTCTTGAACCTGTGGGTTTTTTCGTTTTTGTTTAATTTAGAGAAATTTCAAGATATTTCCCCAAATATTATTTTATGCACTCTCTGCTTTCTCAAAATCCAGTCACATGTTTATTGTCCCACAGGTACCGATGCTTAGCTCGGTTTTCGCAGTCTCCCTTCCTGTACTTTATTTCCTATTCATTTCTGTTTCTGTGTCTTCAAGTTCACTGATTATTTCCTCTGCCACATCAACCCTAATATTAACACCATCCCGTGGATGTTTCATTTCAGGCATTGTACTTTTTATTTCTCAGGTTGGGTTTATTTAATTTCTTATATTTCTTCCTTCATTATGTGCATGTTTTTCCTCCACGACCTTGAACAAGTGAAATATAGTTATAGTCACTAAGTGAATGTAGCCTTGTCTGTTCATTCTATGTTTCATTTCTGTGTTTGTTCATCTTTTTTGATTGATGTTTCTCCTGGCTACAAGTCGTATTTTCTAGCTTTTCTTGCATGCCGAGTAACTTTATATTGGATGCCAGGTAGTGTGAATTTTATGTTGTTGGGTGCCCAGTTTTGTATGCAGAGATATTACCTGAGTCAGTTTTATCATTTCAAGGTTACATTAAGATTTGTAAAGCTGTGTCAAAAAGAAAGTAGAGAATGGTCTGAGCAGAGACTGATATGACAAGATGAAAGTTGTGAGAAGGTTGATGTGGTTGCATGGTGCAACTAAAACAAATAAGAGGGTGACTGGACACACAGCCAGCTCCGAGGTGACGGGGGGAGCCTGTGAGGGAGTAATGAGGTTCCACACCAGTATGGCAGCCGTGGAAATGGAGAGATGGGCAAGACATTGCCAAATGGGAATCCAGGGATTTCATAACCGGTGTCAGATACTGGCTGAGAAACAGCAAGGTCAGTCAAAAGCAGGCCTTTGAGCTCTTGAGTCAGCCAGTCAGTTACTCAACAAAGACTTTCCAGAACCAACAATGGGCTCAGAGAACAGACACCAACTCAGACAGGGTGTGTGGAAGGCGAGCTTCTGTCACTGTCCCCTCCAAAATATTGCGTGTGAGCAAAATCTAGGGCAGTGACCTGCAAGCTTCATCGCATGTTCCAAATTCAAACACAGGATTTTCATTTGTAAATGAAATATTATAGACATTATTACATTTTGAAAAATAAAAATTACAAATGATGATCAAAACATATACCAATGTTAGTTCTAGTATTTGCTCCTGCATCGCCAAGGTTTCTCCAGCCCACTTCTGACACCTGCACAAGGTGAGCTCAGTCTCTGTGGCATTTAGTGAAACAATTATATCTCAGCATGTTACATTAATGATTTTTATTTTTATTGTAGGCTGGTCTGTGGTTTACAGAGGATGAAGATATAAAAGTTCCAGAAAATCCTATTGAACCGCTGCCATTCAATAGACTGGAGCATCTCATACAGGTAATTACTGAGCTCTTTTAAAAAAGTTAATACTTTGCCCTGACTGGGCGGCTCCGTTGTTTGGAGCATCAGCTCATACACCAAAATGTTGCAGGTTTGATTCCCTGTCAGGACATATTACCTAGACTGTGGATTTGATTCCCAGACAAGGTGTGTAAGAGAGGCAACTAATCTAAATTTCTTTCTGGCATCAATGTCTCTCTCTCTCTCTCTCTCTCTCTCAAACCAACAAAAACATATCCTTGTCCTGGCTGGGTTGGCTCAGTGGATAGAGCATTGGCCTGAGGATTGCAGGGTCCCAGGTTCAATTCCTGCTCAGGGCACATGCCTGGGTTGCTGGCTCAATCCCCAGTAGGGGTGTGCAGGAGGCAGCTGATCGATGACTCTCTCATCATTGATGTTTCTATTTCTCTCTCCCTCTCCCTCTCTCTCTGAAATCAATATATATATATATATATATATATATATATATATATATTTTTTAAACCACATCCTTGAGTGAGGACTTTTTTTAATTGAGTATTTTGACACTGATCAATTTCTTTGTCTTTTCCTCCACTTGTGTAGTTTCTTTTAGACACCACTGCCACCCTGCCATTCCGCTGCTCCATCCGCCAGGGACAGACTCACACTCACTAAGTCACTAAGTGGCAGCACGGAGGAGTCTGGGGAGGAGGCAGGCCCCCCCCCTCGATAGAATCCCGCTGTTGACCCTCTAGGTGATCTTGGACCAGTCCCACCACCTCTCTGGCTCCTCTCCTCTCACCTGTCAGATAAGCTAAGATGTTAGTCACCACATTTGTCTCTAAGTGCTCTTCCAATTCAAAAAGCTTAGGATGGAAACGGCCATTTTACCTGTATATGTCTTCATTAATTTCTTTCTGATTTTGACTAACATGGTACAACATACCAACAGTTTGCATGTGGTATTGGTCATGGCCCATTGGATTTTCATTATTACCTAAAAAATATCAAGAGTAACTATTGATTCTAGTACTATAATGATAGTGGTAATACACTGATGATAATAATAGAGTAATGCTGTTACCTTCTATTCCTGAGGACAGCCATACCTTAAAATCTAACACGACTCTGATTACATTGTAAATGTTGAAAATATGAAAATATGCCAAATTCAATAAGCTAGGGGAGAAGTGTTGGGGGGTAGATGCAAACACCACAGCAAACTGTGTAGATCGATTATTCCATTTCCAGCCAACCGTGAGTCCGAAATTGCCGAGCAAAATTGAACATGACTCCAATTATAACCTCAAATGAGCAATTTCCTTCATTGAATGCCATATTTGAGCACCTCTGGAAGGAGAGAGGGCCCGGGAATTACCAGGAGCCTGAGACGGGCGGCACTTTCAGGGGCAGCTTTCTGTTTGGGTTTTTCGTGTGTTTTACAACGGGACCCTGGGGGGCGGAGGTCATTTCTTAAAGCTTCTGTATTTCCAACAGATTCTCCAGGTCACTGTTTGCACGTGTGTGAGAAGAGCCAGGCACTTCCCCAAACAGGTCCAATGGGTCTTAGGTGTGGCCTGTGGGTCCCAGGCCATAGCGTCAGCTTTGCAGGTCCCCAGAGGGGGTTAGATTCCCGTACCAGCTCCTCATGCTGCCAAATGCACAAGAGCTGGCCGCCTCCTCGGGCCTCAGCATGAGAGGGAGACTTAGCAAACAATGCCCCTCAGTGGGGAGCGCACTCTCTCCCTGGAGGGGAGCCAGGAGTCCCGTTACTGTCAGAGGATTACTAAGTATGAGGTCAGAGCAAGGTGGGCCTGTCTAAAGGTTTTAATGGCGACAGTCCCAGTGGCCTTGGGCATAGTTGGCCCCCACTTTCTCCACCCCACACAGAGAAGGGCAGAGAGGGGTGTACCGGAAGCTTCATGCTCAGGACTTGGGGCCCAGTTTGTCAGGGTGGTGCTGAGCCCAGACCGAGGGATCCTTGTTCGTGGGTTCCCTTTTCCTACTTGATGTGTGGTCCCCACCATCTTGATTAGCACATTTTCCCCCCTAAATATGTTAATGCCATTGGTCCCCACCATCTAGATTAGCACATTTCCCCCTAAATATATTAATGCCATACAGTTTCCTTTACCATTAGAATTCCAAGCCCTACTTTTTATGGGTCTTTAAATGTTACTTAGCATATTCTTCATTTACTATCACTCATGATACGTTAGTTTTACTGATTGTGTCCTCAGAAAGTGACCGTTTCCACAGCTGCTGGGGAGAGGGCGTCCACGTGCCCTGTCCACCGGCTAACAGCCAGAGTGCGTGCCATTGATGTTTGGCTGACATCTTTGTGTGCACAGTTCTTCTTCAGGCTCTTCGCCGACCCTGAGACAGAGCCACCGCTGCTTGACTACACACAGATGCTGCTTTACTTTGCCTGCCACCCAAACCCTGAGGAAGGGGTATACAGGGCCCTCAGTGTGGCCATTGGGACGCACATCTACCAGCCATTCGAACTGGTTCCTCTTCCTGTAGACCAGGTAATTGAGTTCCAGAAATGGACCAGCCCTGGGGTCTGGAGGGGGTGCCAGCAGGTCCTGCACGTCTAACAAAGACTGTGTTCTTATCCTTTCCATATTTTCCTGGGTAACTAACACAACCAAGTTGCACATACTAGGTCTTCATTCAGCCTTATTCAGTTGGACCCCACTGTCCAAAAAAAAAAAAAAAATGCTTTTGTAAGTCAACATTTGCTCAAAGTTTCTTGGCAGAATCAAAGTTTTCTCTGTATAGGACAGCCTTTCTTTTGCATGAAGTGTTAATTCTGATAAATGAGAAAGAACTGGGTCTGCCCAATTTATTTTGAATGCTTTATGGAAATTCTATGTAAAACCCATCTAGACTTTAGACACAGCCCACGTGTGTGACGTTGGTAGTGTTTCAGGTCAAGGCGCAGCCGCCCGAAAACCCAGGCGCTTTGTGTCACCTGCATCCAGGGACAGAGAAGCTTAACATCAAACAAAACCCCTCATTCCCCTTAGATTTCTAAGGCATTGGCATCAGGTGAAAATGCCCCAGGCCAGGGTACTAATTCATCTCCTTACTACGTATCCATTGACATGGCTTTTGAGGCTTGCCCTGGTCTTTTGAGGATGCATCATGAGGACTCTCATGATGGAATGTTTCTTCTGTTCTTCCTCGGTGGTCTCTCTGTGGAGAGAATATAAACAGAGGCCCGGAGAAGGTGGGGAGCCTGGCTGATCTCTGAGAGAACAGCATTTCAAGTGAAGGCAGCAGTAAATGTGAAAACCCTAAAGTGGGGTCACGCCTGGTGTATTCCAAGCAGCAGAGAGTCAGCCGTTGTAGTTGGAGAGGAGTGAGCTGGGAGAGTGGTTGGAAAGGAAAGTGGGGGAGAGAGCTCAGAGGGCTTGGCAGGTCCTACCAAGAGATGGGACCAGAAGTCATTGGAGTGTGGCCATCTGACTGGCAATGTGTGGCCCTCCCGGGCTGCGGTGTTGAGACCAGACTGCAGGGAGCAGTTGTTGGGGGGGCAAAAGAGGCAAGAAGGAGAGCTTGTTATTCAGGAAGGCGGTTGCTTATCCATGGAATCCTTTTGCTAAGTTATTTCCACCTTGATTTGGGGACATGTTAACCCAAAGTAGCTGCCACATAGCAAGTATTCAACTGTTTGTACACATGGCAAGAAAGAAGGGAAGAAGAGAGAGGTGAAGGAATAGAACCCGGTCTCCAAGATAAAGCAGAGGAGAGCAGCTATTCCAGGTAGAGACAATAACAGGATCCGTGAGGCTGCAAGGAGCCAGAGACCTGGAGAAATGATGCCCATGCTAGAGCTGTTGGGTAGCAGCCAAGCCAGCTAGCAGGGCAGAATCCCTTCTATCCCTGAATCACCCATTCAGAGTCAGCTACTGCCCCACCCAGGAAGTACTCCGCTGGGGGGCTTCTCTCAAGAGCTCTCTGAAAACCCAAGGACGCAGCACCTCAACTGACCCACAACCAGGGAACAGCGGAGTGACCCGGGAGGAGCCAGGGATGGAATGCCCGTGTTCCACACCACGTGGGCTGGCCAGTTCCTGGCTGGAGTGAACCCAAGGAGGTTTGACATGGAGGACCCACCCCCTCCCTCCTTCTTGCTCACCCCTGTCCTGCCATCCTGCATCCCATGATGCGGCTCTGTCCCTACGCCCTTTCCAACACTGTTCTAGTTACCTGGCAATCTCATCCCAGGAAGCCATCATGAGCCTCCTCAGAAATCACACCTCCAGCAGATTCATGGCCACTCCCAAAGCACTGAATCAGAGCTCTGCTTTCGCTTTCCACATAAACAACGAGAAACCTCCCGGATATGTCAGCTTTTCTCACTCTGCTTCTGAGACGCAGGCTGTTCTCGTTAATGTGGCCCAGACCTCCTGTTTAAACCCCTTTTTCCTGGGTAATTTAAAAGACATGCAAGAGCAGAGCATGAATGAGTATGCCCTCGTCCCAGTGAAACTGAAGTAAGTTGACAGGTAGGAAAATGGTTCATTCTGACCCAGGCGGTGTGGGGTTATGATGTTGGAATTGAGTAACCAGTCAGCTTGAATCTCCCAGAGTTTGCAAGTCTTGTTAAAGCATCTTGGCAGAGCCTGGGAGGCCCTGAGGTTGGAAACTCACACATTTTAATTCCATTTGGCTCTGTGATGCTTTGCCCATATTGGTCCTGTTAGTGACCTGCTCCACCCTGAGATGCAGGAATGAGCTGATTGCATATAGAAATGAGTGGTCTGGCACCATTGCAGAGACAGCATCTGCTGGGAGGCCTCCAGGCTGCCTCTGGGCATTTGCCAGGTGTGACATAGCATTTGCTAGGGCCACAAGCTGATGACCATGTGACTCACACAGAATTTTGATGCCACTAGTAACTGCTCATTCAGACGCACCAGCTCTTCTCCTCTCCCGCCTCCTGGCTTTGATCACGCACCTCCATTAAAAACCAAACCGTGGTTTTTCCAAGATGTGAGTTGAAGAAGGTCCTTTCTATTGTACATACCCTGCAGGTCCTAGATACTCTGGTCCCAATCTCAGCCTCTCTCTCCTCTCCTTTCCCTCTGAACCACTAATTCCATTCTGTCCCAACCCTTAGATAGCAGAAATAGCAAAAATGTTAAAAGCATCCTCGGACACTAATAAGTTAAGGGTTAAACTGTTACCCTTTAGCTAAAATCAAAAAATGATTTATCCCTGCCGATTGTGTCAGGCCTTGGGCACGCTGGTCCCTCTGCATGGAGACAGTGCGCAGAGACCAGCTTCCTTCTCTCTCTATGTGGTATCGCCTGCTCCTCTCACCTGGCTGGTCATTGGCTCACCCACAGGCTCTGTGGAATGTGTCCACACACACCTTTGCTGCATCTGAATAGGCATTCACTCATTCTTCCCTCGCTCAGCAGGCGGTTCCACATCTCTAAGATCCTTTCACTCTGCTAGGGAATGAGTGATGGGCAGCCGCTGTGATGATGTCCAGGCTTCCTAGGTGGAGAAAGGCAAGTCTCACATTTCTGCCCTGGAGCATTTCAGCTGTTCAAAATGAAGAAGAGGATGGATGGATGGATGGGTGGATGGATAAATAGATGTGCTTAATTCCAAAATCTTCATCTGATAGAAAATTATGTCTCTCTCTCTCTCTCTCTCTCTCTCTCTCTCTCTCTCTCTCTCTCTCTCTCTCTCTCCCTCCTTCCCTCCCTCCCTCCTTTCATCTCTCCTCTCAGTTAGATTTAATTGCCAACAGACCTGGGCTAAGATTTGGACGTGATTTTCAGCATATTCTCTTCTTGACTTTGTCTACGTAGTCTGTGGTAGGCACTATCTATTCCATGGCAAAAAAAAAAAAAAAAAAAAGTGACAAAGTTGGTGCTTTTTCAATGCCTCTGTTACTGGGAAGAATTCAGTCTGACTCCATGTTCTCTTCATTTATTTGTGCAGAGCTACTTCTTTACTGAGGAGAGTCTACTTCGGGACTATTCTGGAACAGAGAACTTCTTTGATGCATTAAGGGTTTCCAGAGAGGAAAGTGAGGAAAAGGAACGAGAAATTCCTGAAAATCCCAACACTGAAAAGATTTCTTTGGAAACGCTGCTCAACGTGTTCCGAGGACAAAACAAAGCCCAGGACGCCGACAGATTTGCCTTCCACCTGAAGGCAGAGAACACCTACTTAGAGGTTGGTGAGACGGCAAAGGAAGCAGCTTGTGCATAAGAAAAATTGCCCCGAGTTGAAGCCTATTTTATGGAATTTCTTTATTAAGTAAAAAAAAAACAAAAAAACACTTTTTAACATTTGCAGAATTGTAAAATGAATTACGTTTTTTGGTTTTTTTTTAAGAACTTCATAAAAGTATTTGAGGACCTGGGTGCCAAGAATCTGGAGCCGATCGAAGTCGCAGTTCTTTTGAAGCATCCTTTTATTCAAGATCTGATTTCAAGCTATCCAGGCTATAAGATCCCTGTGAGTACTACTCAGAGGCATCCTCGTTTGGCTGAGCTCAGGTTGGAGAGTAGTGGGACATTCAGATGTGGACTAGCAGGAAGGGGGAAGAAGCTGGACTCAGCCAGACAGGGTCTGGAGAAGCTGAGCTGGGAATGGCATCTGACCAGAGAGACCAGCCTACAATACTCCAGGGCAGCAGGCCAGGCACAGTTAGATAGCTATTGGTATAGGGGTCTCTTAGTACTATAGATAGTACCCTTCTATGCTAGGGATAGTATGAGAAATACTAGGGATAATACTCTCAGTGTAATAGACTACTGGGGTAGCACTCTCGGTGCTATGGGTAGTACTAGAAATACTAAGGGTAGAACTCTGGGTGCTGTGGATAGTACTAGAATTGCTAAGAGATAGTACTAGAAATACTAGGGGTAGTACTCAGTACTATGGACAGTACTAGATATACTAGGGGTAGTATTCTCAGTATAATGGATGATACTAGAAATACTAGAAACTAGATGGTACTAGAAATACTAGGGATAGAAATCTCAATACTACAGGTAGTACTAGAGATACTAGGGGTAGTACTCTCAGTGCTATGTCTAACACTAGAAATATGAAGGATAATATTCTCAGCACTATAGATAGTACTATAACTACAAGGGATAATGCTCTCAGTACTATAGATAATACTAGCAATACTAGGGATAGTACTCTCAGTGTTATGGATAGTACTAGAAGCATTAGGGGTAGTACTCTCAGTACTGTGGATGGTACTAAAAACACAAGGGGCAGTACTCTCAGTACTGTGGATGTTTCTAGAAACACGAGTGGTAGTACTCTCAGTACTGTGGAACTGCCTCATCAGGACCATAGAACTACATTGGATCTAAAACAGAAGGCTGGAGGTAGATGATAGTTAAAGCCAGATGGATGCCAGCATTTGTGTTCTGGGTAATTCTCGCCACCTAATGACCCTAGCCTGTGACTGAAAAGTAGGGAGAATAAATCCCCCCTTGCCAAAGAGAAGTAAAACCATGATCCCCAGCCAAGAGCTGACATAGCCATGGTACACATTGCCCACGTAATACACACAGTCACCGTGCCTGGGAAAGATTGGGTGCCAGTTCCATCCAGGAAACAGTGTTCAGGATGGGGAAACTGTGGATGAAACCCATAAAGACTGGACCATCCAGCAGAAAGAAGGAATTGCGGCACCTCAGAACTCACTCAGTAACCAAGCAACTCTCAACTCCACGCGCTGAACGTACCCCCACCGTGGCCAGCCCCTGCTCGCCAACAGCAAGGGGAGGAGGACAGAGGCTGGCCCCTTTCAGGGTGTGGCAGGTGGCTGCGACCTCTCACACATGTGAAGCTCTCCTATTTGGCTCCTGCTGGTTGTTTATTGGATGAAAATATTTCACTGAGCTTAAGATACAGGCACGTTAGCTTTGGTCAAATACAGGGGAGATAAGATGCACTTCTCTTCACTTCTCGGTGATAACTACCTTCGCCCAGAAATGGGACTATCCAGACTTAAATATCTTTGTCTCTAAATTGGTGATGCTTTCTCAAACAAATATTACTTATGTTAGTAATCATGGAAGTGGGTCCCTAACAAGCCAGCAGTAAAGCATGATGATAGCATTCAGGAACATAGGCTCTGGAATCAGAAAGTCCTGGGACTGAGTCTGGGTCCACCACTCCCTAGAACCAGACTTTAACTCTCTCTTGGTCCTGGCTTCCTGGTCTGTTCAGTGAGGATAACAGCCATTCTACTTAAAGGGTTGCAGTGAGGATTCAATGAGATTACGCAGCTGAAGCACTTGCCATGGTATCTGACGCACAGCAAGCACTACAGAAATGATGGCTGTTGTAATGACTAGTCAACACCCAGTGCTCACTGCTGATGCCGGTCATGTAAGGACCCATGAGCACCCAGCTCACTGCTGCTCCCAAGCAATACACTTCTGTTCGCAAGAGAATTTTTTCACACAGGAATCCCATGAGAATGATATAAGGTGAACCACCCAAATGCACAATTATAAGAATTCAAAACATAGTTGCCTTCTTGGATGTGTGTGCTAGACAGCGAGTCCTTAAAGATGGCCAGGGTTTTGGAAAGTGGAGGGAGAGGAAGGGTGTCCACCTGGCTTTTGCTGTGGAGTGGAGCGAGGGCAGCCTCCCAGGTGAGAGGAGAGGCCTGGGCAAAGGTGTGGAGAGGAATGCAGGGAAGGAGCAGGAGCAGGAGCCTGGCCTGCTGACAGGCGTTGGTGAAGGGCTTAGTGATGCCATCGGGCAGTAAGATCGGAGCCATAAGATGGGGCCAGATTGCAAAGGTCCCAGAGGACACCCGGAGAAATTCGGATTTGATTTGAAATGCGATGGAGAGTGCATATAGGCTTCTGAGCAGGGTTGTGAAAGGGCATTAATTTCCTCATCCCTGTGTGTTTCTTTGTCTTAACCACAGCATGTCATTATGCCTCTACATCTTATAGGGCCCTTTTAAGAATTAATTGTGTCACTTTCTTTAAATAGGTCTGAGATATTTGGAAACACAGTTATTCTAAGTTATTCACACATCCCACAAACATCTGCTGTTTGCACTGAAACTAGCATGCTGTGTGTCACTTTCAGAGTCTTCTATTTTATTCCTTCACTAGAAGCCCAGTGTATGAAGATTTGTGCAAGAATGGGCCTTTCTTTCCCTGGCTGTTGGCACTGCCTTTCTGCTCCTGCCCTGGAGCTAGCTCTTTCTGCTCTGGCACCACTCCAGCCCCACCTTTCCACGCTGCCCAGAGGCCCTGAGTGGCTGGGACCGTGCAGAACACCTATGTCCTGCCCAGCCCCCAGTCATCGGCACCTGCATATGCAAATTAACCTGCCATTTTTGTTGGATTAATTTGCATGCTCACTCCTGATTGGCTGGTGGGTGTTGTGAAGGTACAGTCAATTTGCATCTTTCTTTGTTATTAGTGTAGATTAGTACAGGGCACTTTCTTCCCCACTTCAGTTTAGGGGGACATAGGTCAGTACGCCCCTAGAATTAGTGGGAACAGAGCACACCAGAACTAGAAAAAGGAGCAGTGAGAAAGAATGAGTAAGTGTCACACACAGTATGGGGCAGTCATCAGCTATGGGGATCTGTCCCCATTTTCCCCTCTTGTTAGACATCCTTCTGGGTACGGTGGGTTCAGAAGCCTATGACTTTAGGCTGCATTTCACCACATGTTTCGTCCACGTTTCAGGGAGCGGCCCTTTTATTTTGAATCAGCAAAAAGGTTTTTCAAAACCCCTTGGCATTGTGGACAATTGGATTCATCTCCTATTGCCAAGAATAAGTAGGAACATAAAATGATAACACAGGTATCCCGGATGAAAGAAAAACTCACTGCGAAGTCAGGACCACTTGCGATCACCCCTAATCTTGCCAAATGACTGGCCACCATGGTGGTTATCTTGCAGAGAAGAGCTAGTCCTCACTTTGCAGAAAAAAGAACACAGCCCACAGTGCTGCCTCAGAGAGCCAGCCTCTGGGGAGGTGCCCTCACTCCTGGGGAGCTGGCCACCAGGAGGCTCTTTTTAACATGGTACCTTCCTCATCTGGAGGGAGTTTCATCAGTTTGCAGCCTCTTCCAATGAAGTCCTGCTGGAATCTTGGACAGCTCGGTTCCTCTTTGCACAGGGCTGTCTCCCTTGTGGCAGCAATCTAACATTTGGGGCCTTACCCACTGTGTTCCACCTCAATATATTGACACCCAAACTACCTCCACACCTTCCCCAGTCCCCCCTGGCTGAGGGAATCTGCCCCCAGTGACCTGGCTTCCAGCACCAGGTGGCCTGACGCTCCAATAGCAGAAAGAGAGTTTGTCTGTCAACCAGTCGTCAGTCTGTTCAGTTTTGTTTCCTCACTGCCAGGGTGCTTTTGCTAAGTCAGTTCCCTCACCTCTCCTCTCCTTGACCTTCACATCTCCTCAAGGTCACTCCACTGAGGCATCTAAGGAGTCAGTGGGCCACCACCATCAGGACTCACTCACGATTGCAAATCAAGGGGAGTTGAGCCTGCCACCTGAAAGGGCTTAATTCTGATATTCTAAAATGATGGAAGTCTCCTTTCCAGTAACATGCTCTATTCTCACTTTCACTAAGCAGAAAAGGAAAGATAGAGAAAGAGAGAGAGAATAAGAAGGGAGGGTAGGGAATGAAAGAGAGGGGCAGAGAGAAGGAGGGATGGAGAGAGGGAGAGAAGGAGGAAGAAAAGAGAGAAACAGGAGGGAGGGAAGGAGAAAAGAGAGAGAGAGAGAGAGAGAGACAGAGAGAGAGAGAGAGAGAGAGAGAGAGAGAGAGAAGAGAAGAGAGAGAAGAGAAGAGAAGAGAAGGAAGGAAGGAAGGAAGGAAGGAAGGAAGGAAGGAAGGAAAGAAGGAAGGAAGGAAGGAAGGAAAGAAGCAAAGAAGCAAAGAAGCAAAGAAGGAAGGAGGGAATGAAGATAGAAATGAAAAGAAAGAAGACTCTGAAGACTCAGGCATAGGTCTTATCATCATTTTTGCTCCAGATATCCATGTACAACTAAGTAGATCGCATTTTGAAATGAACTTTAACCACAGTGGTGTTATTTGAAGATTTCTCAAGATAAGTAGAACAAGCTAGAGTGTGGTTTTTCAGGTTACAATGTTTGCTCTTATAAACTGTGGGAAGGGGAAGGTTGTTGCCTAACAGCTCTGTTGGGCAACAGCTCAGTTTACAAAGTTCGTGTTTGAGAGCAGCAACATTTTAAAAGTGCATATTTAGAAACCAAGTACACATAATTATTTTCATATGCTTTATTTTTCTCCTGCTGGGATTGGCCTGGCTTTGCGATTAGGAGAGCAGACTCGGGACCACACTGATTGAAACCAATCCGTGCGTGGGGTTCATACCAACCAATTGTGTGATCTAGGGCAAGTGACCTCATGATGTCTTGGTTTCCCATCTGTAAAATAGGGTTAATTATTCACACAAGGTTCTTGTATGGATTAAATTACTTAATCCTATCTAATAAAGGAGAAACATGCAAATTGACTACATCTCCAATAAGCCCACAAGCCACACCTACCAGCCAATCAGGAGCAAGTATGCAAATTAATCCGACCAAGTTAGCGTTAATTTGCATACCCAGGCGCAGAGCAAAGACTGAAGACAGCGTAGAAGGAAGCCAAGCGCTGCAGAAGGGAGCAAAGCTGCAGAGAAGCAAGCGAGCTGGGTGGTAGAGAAGTCTGGGAAGCAGGCGGGGTGGTGGAGATGCCGTAGGAAGCCCTATTCTTGCAGGAATCTTCCTGCAACAGGCATCTAGTCTATATAAAAAAGTGCTTGGCAGCTATAAATCCCTCAGTAAATGCTAGCTATTAGCTATTATCAGTGGGTAATTGCACGGAAAATGTTTCTCAGCTATGGAAACGCTATGTGTGGGAGAACTAATAAGCTGGCACCTCCCCTCTTGAATTCAGTGTCCACACTTGGAGAGAAGGAAAGTGGTCCCTAGTTCAAGGCCCTGGAGACAAAGATTCAAGACCAGGAACACGCGTGTGGAAAATATCTACATGGAAAATTCAGATTTTTATGTGGGATTTTATAGTTGTTTGAGTAGAGTCCCTTATTTTACCTCTGCTTTCATAGATCTGATACAAAAAGTAAGCTTCCTAAATCATTAAGAAAATGCTTTGGTGAAATGTGGCAAGACCAATGAGAGCATTGTGCCTTGGTTATTAGCTAGTGGAGTCCATTAATTTCCTCTGACAAATATATTTACAAATTCAAGCGAACACACGACTTTCTATACAAACCTAACAGATGTCATTTCTTATCATGAACACGTGCTGAGTATATGTAAATTTCTTTTAACTAACCTCTAAATGGGACATAGAGCCTTAAAATTAGAGCTTCCATTCAACAGGATACAACAATAAATCTGTTAGTGTTAAAATCAGAATTTCTGTGAAGTCCCAATCACAGGAGGACCAATTCCTATAACTGTAAGTGTGACTGGAAGGGCCTCTGGTGCTGTTTGGTCCTCAAGGCACCTGACTTTAAAATATGCTCCCCCTTCTCCTTTACCTTCATAACAAAACATGATGGCTGCTTCTGTGCCTCGTGCTTTCAAAGCTCCCACATCAAACATTTCCAGGCTCTCTCAAGCTTTCCTCAATTAACTGCTCCTGAAAATGATGGCCTGTGATTTCAGCTATAAATTGTAGCCCAGATTGGTTTAAGTATCTGAAGTGTTCAATTTTCCCCATGCTACGGAGTGTCAGATAACCACAGGTCAGCTCATCCCTAAGCCCCCGAATTAACAGTCAGTATATGCACTAGTTAAAGTCATTCAGAGTCCTTGGCGGGTGGACTGCTTCTTCTCTCAGTTCCTCTTCACTCAGTCCGCTGGCCTTTGGCCTTTGACTCTAGAAGATCTGTGTTTTCAAAGAAGCGCTTCTCAAGACAGTGATTCACTACCATTCCTGGCAGTGACATTTAGAAGTAGCGTGTGTGTGTCACTCGGCCAAACTAACCCATGTCTTTGTGACTGAAGTGGCCACAGTCAAACGGAAACCTTTGGAACTTAGCTCTGAAGAAAAGAAGCTTCCCTAAATCTCTGTGTGTAGGGGAAGGGGGAGGGAGCAAACTAGAAACCACATAAACATAATTCTATATTTTCCACAAGTGTTTGTATCCCTGCTACTCTGTGATAGTGTGTTCAGTTTATTTTTAACAATAGGGTGGTGAAGGCGTGGGGTAGAGAGTGGGCAGGCTAGAAGAGGTAAAGGTGGGGGGCGGGAACCTATGTAATACTTTCAACAATAAAGGTATTTTTGTAATCACAAGTATAGTAATAATTTACAAATGGATTTTAAAAATATCTGTGATTTAAAATGTAAGCAAGCTGGGCATTTTAAGTGGGTGAAAAACAGATTCTACTATTCCTGATATTAAAAAAACATAAATACATAAAAAATAAAGACATGAGGCAATTCCCACCCCTCAGTAATCTGCTGTTCTAAAAGTCTACAAGTCTGTAGACGTGAGTAATTTAGAATTAGGATTTTCCTTTAACAGAAAATGAATACTGCTTTTCATTCATTAATAGAAAAATGATCTTTTAGCTTACCCATTATGTGCCAAACTCCATGTAATTGCTTTTATAAGCGTGCTTTAAGCTAATGGGACAATTCCAGTATGAAATGAGAAAAAGCAGGAGAGGATTCAAACTAAATAGAGAGCAATTTTATCAAAAGAAAACAATAAAAACCTATACTCTTTAATCTTTGCCATTATTAGGTGATCATTAACCCTGTAATTTGTAAATGTTTATAACTTCTCTTTCAATCTCTCCTCTTAGGATATTAAATTGATTCTGCAAAGAAGCGAGCACGTACAAGGAAGTGATGAAGAGAGATCTCCCTCAAGACTGACAGAGGACAGGAAATGAAAACAAAAGAGCGTGATGGTTACAATTTGGCAATGAATCCTTCAACATCCAATGCAAACATGGTGTTTGCCATGTATGTTTTTGTTGTAAGTGTAGAAATGACTTCTACCAGGTTATGAGGGGGGTTTCTTTAACTCAGAGAATATTCTGTAATAAATCTTAAGTTTCTGAGCAAAAATAAATGTAGAGTGAGAAGAAATGCATTTTGAAAGGATTCTGAAAAATAGAAGGCACCAGATCAAGATAGTCCAAAAAAATCAACACATGAACAATCCCTATGAGAAGTATCTAGATGAGGCAGATGCAGTCCAAATTCCCCCAAAGCTCCACACCAGGGCCTTCCTGCTGTGGACATTTTGTGGTTCTTGCTCCGTGTGCTGTGAAGTCCAAGGTTCATCCCACTAGCCAAGGAGAAGGCTGCTTTATCATTCGCTGGTACAGTCATGCTCCTATAGTCTTTTCATAATTCTTTTATCATAGAATAGACTCTTTCCTGTATGGATAGATGTACAATTGTATCTTTTTAGTTGTATAAATTAGCAAATCAATCAATTCTTGAGATTTTTTTTTTTTGAGTGATAATATATTCTCAATGGCTGAGCTCCTATGAAACACTCTCTGGGTTTCCCCACTGGCTACTCCTTCTAAGGATATCTTGCTGGATCCTCCTCTTACAGATGTTGTTGTTGGGTCTCCATGGTTCAGTGTTTCCTATCCACAGTCAATCCCTGGATGATCCATCCATTTCCATAATTTATGGGTGTTACAGAAGCTAGTGCTGAAGTTTCCATTCCCATCCATCTTCCTGGCACCCTTCTCTCCTGCTGCCCACATGACTACCACATGGGCAGGTCATAGTTTTCACAAGCTCACGTCCACAGCCGGCAGAGGCACCTTTTATAATAATGCAAGTCAGGTCACATCACCGCCCCCCTGGCTCCAATTGCTATTGGCCTCCCACCACACACAGAGTCTAGTCCAAGTCCTCACCTTGATCTCACTCATTGCTACCTCTCTCATCTCATCTCTTGCTATTCTTCCTATTGCCCACTCTGCTTAAGGGACAACTCAACCTTGTTGATTGTGGGACACACCAGGCATGCCCCTGCCTTGAGACTTTAGCTTTTTTTTTTTTTTTTCTTTCTCTGCCTGAAAGGGCTTTCTCTCAAATATCTGGGCCTGGCCCCTGACTTCCTTCAAGTCTCTGTTCAAAAGACTCTTTGCTATTAAGGCCTTTCCTCAACACATATTACGAAAGAGAAATGACTCACCACCCCACACGGCTCACTCCCACTTTGATTTTTTTCCCATTGAATTTAAATCGGCAGCTATCGAACTGCATATTTATTCTTTTGTTTGTCTGTCATTCCACTAGGCTGTCAGGGATTTTGTGTTATTTCCTTTATTGCTACGCCCCACAACCTGAGTAAAATAATAACCAGCTTTACACCGTGTTGAAGCATTCATGCAAAATGTGTGGAAATATCACATTTGGATTGCTCACTAAAACAATGAGCAGTTTCTATTGTAGGTGGGAATTATAGTCTATTTCCAGGAAGTGACACATGTCCTAAATTTGCTTCTTATGGGCTAAGATTTTCCCAAGACTTTGTCTTTGAGGTGAAGATTAATGACTCAGAAGCACTCTTGGGTGGGAAATGCAGAAGAAGCTCAACCAGAGATTCCAAAGTTACAATTTAGCTGATTCACATGTCGTTCTAGTGATTGTCAAATAATTCTAGTAACTCTAGAGAAGGGAACAGAGGAATAAGGATGTCCTCTGCTATCCTGAAGCTCATCTCTTACCCAAGACCTACATTGGTACCTTGACAGCTATTTCCCAAAAAGTGAAATCTGCAGCCCCGGGGGATTTTCTTTCTCTTCTCTTTCTTCCCCTAAACAGATCTCCACTTCCTTCACGCATGACTCTCAATGTCCATTTAAATGAAAGACCCATTCCTTCATCCAGAATAAAGATGGATGTTTTAGACTGATTCCTGGGGAAAACCTGCAAAGGAGTCACCATTTCCTCCAAATCATGGTCCAGGAGGTGTCAGCAGGAACTGCTTGAAAAGCCATCGCCTGCCAGCATAACAGTGGCCTCATTAGAAGTTCTTCCAACTATGGCTGCCTTCTCTCCATCTTCATCAAACTCCCCACTGAATGGTCACCCTCTTCAACATCTCTCCCTCTCTCTCTCTCTCTCTCTCTCTCTCTCTCTCTCTCTCTCTCTCTCCTTTTCTTTCTTCCTCTCCCTCCAGCTGCTGCTTTTGAGAGATGGATCTGAGGTCTCTTATCCTAGTTACTCTCCCCTGGAAATCAGTATGGCATTTTACAGGATCACTTTTGGTATTCTCATATATTTTCAGAAACAAGGTAAACAATACAGATTGAATGGGGAAAATAAATAAAAAGACAAGTGAATTTATATTGGAGTGTCTTCAGCAAGCATAGAAGACTTATCACATGAATAATTCATTGTGTCTCTTCCTCAGTGGACTGTCGGCTATAGGAGAGACTTACTATGTCTGCCTTATTCGCCTCTGTGACAGAAAACATCAAAGGAATTCAAAGAAAGATACAGAATCTATGCAAATTATAATTATGGTTGACACCATGTTGGAAGAGATTTGAATTAAATTATATTTAATAAGAGAAAGAAGACCCAGAGACAAAGTTAGGAAATTACTAACGGGCAACAATAGATAATACTGTTGAGGGTTTACCAGGAGGCACCCATCCCAGGCATTCGATTCTCACTTCTCACCGCTCTTCGAAATTGTTACTCTGCAGCTTGCCATTGATGCATCATGAAAATGACATTTTCAAGAGATTGCATAACTTGCCCAAAGTCACACAGCTGGTGAATAATAGACACAGACTAGAAACCTTGTATTAATCCCAAAAGCCTTCCTCCTGCCCGGTTTGCTCAATAAAGGTCCAAAGAGCCCATTACAAAGCACAGGATGGAGGAAGTATGGCTTAGCAGTCTTTAGCAATGAAAACACAAGGCTTGTTCCCAGGAAACTGAATTTAATCTGCTGTGGGACAGGCCCTGAAGGATCCAGTGTCCTCAAGCCTTCCAGGAGGAAGGGAGATGCAGCTTCTTCTCCTCGCCCCGGTGGTCAGGCCTCTGCTGCATGCAACTCCATGTGCAGTTTCTGGCCACACACTCTCATACATGCACGCTTCATAAAGGGACTCAAAATCCCTTAGCCTGGGCCTTGACCTGAGAGGTTTCCAACCTGAAGGGGCACGGGGCCATCCCAGCTGGTGGAAAAGCCGTCCAGGTGAAGTCTCTCTTCTGCAGCCCCGGGGGACGAAGCAAGACTAGGGTGGAGGTTGTAGCAAGACAGATTTCAGCTGAGCCCCTGGTGCTCCAAACTCCCTGTTTCTGGAAGTTTCCTGAGAGAGGAAGGACACCAGGTGGCAGGGAAGTTGGCAGCCATGACAGGAGCCCAGAACTTGACCTGTTTGTCCTGCTCTGACTGCAGTTCTCTCTCTACTGGATCAGCTCCTCAGCTCTGCTACCCCAACTTCCACCTCCCCAAGGGTCCTTTCAGCTGGTCTCCCTGGCGTGGGGTCTCACCTTTCTTTAGAGCACTTTGGCTCAGCTTAGCCCACTGCTTGAGCACCCCATAGTTGCCTGCACTAGAGTTCCCAGCCATGGAGCCCAATACTAGCTTCAACCACATAGCTGTTGCCCTGCCCACGCCAGCCCGTGGCTCCCTAAGGGGATTACAATGGGATCAGAAGGGATGCAGACATTGGTTGCGACATTTGGTGGACTCGCTGAAGGTTTGAGTGTGAGAGACCAGGCTATCCATAAGCGATGCCCTTAAAACAGGATTGGAAGGTAGGAGGAGGGGGTCTCCCCAGAGAACCTCAGAGACAGATGGAGCCATAAAGTCATCCACCAAATCACATCTGCCTGAGGCTGGCTGACTCATGGAAGCCAATGAGCCTGCTTTTAGGACCTGGAACCTGGTCTAATCCCCGAACAGGCCAGCCCAGTGGCCCTATCATCTGGGCTCTTTCTAGGCCCCTCTCTACTCCCTACCCATTTCCTATCTTTAAAAAAGGTGCCCTAGTTCTACCCCTACACCTTGCCCAATGTACTCTGCCTTTCCTACTGTGCCGGCACATTTGTCTGAGTAACAAATGTCTGTGTCCTGGAGCAGCTCCTGTGGTCTCCCATGGTTTTCCTGTCATGTCCTCTGACACAGGCTTAGCTGGTGTCCTCTGTTACTGGTGGCATCACCAAGGATGCTGGTGACAGAGGGATAAACAAATCTGTAAGCGCCTTCACTCTCGGATTCTCAGCCTGAGGACAGAGTAACGTGCTGTTTTCAGGCCTATGTCAAAACAAATCTGGAAAGAGATGCCACCAGAGGCTGTGGCTGCAGTTCAAAGCCCCCGAGGGCCGTGCCGGGCTCAGAGCAGTGCCTTGAGCCCCGGAGCTCCGAGCCAGCGCTGTTGTGTCTTTGCTCACTTCACGCTAACCGCAGGGAGACAGCGACACCAAGCCCTGTCTGTACAGCCTCACCTTGCTGTGCCCCCACAAACCAGGCTGAAACCACAGCATCCTCCTCGCCTACGGCAGACTTCACCGTGCACCCCGAAGGGTGAGGGCTGCTGCTGCTTCCGCCGGCCTCACTCTTTGTTCCCAGCTCACGGTCAAGTCCCTCTACGTCCAGGAGAGCCTTTGCCAGCATTCTTCTCGCAAAGAGCCTACAGCAGCAGAGTCCTGGACTGGCAGGCACCACTGAGCTTTCTCCTGCTGCGGGCGGTCTTGGCCATTCCCTGCTGAATCTAGCTGCCCCTCATAAAGCTCACCCAGGGTGCCATATGGAAATTTTCTTTAAAATGCCAGGGGCCACTTGTGAAACTATGCTGCTGTTCTTTCTCCCAGAGGGCAACTTCCTCCACATTACATTTCCTAAGGGCGGGGAGAGAGGGAGCCAGTGGGTAGTAATAAATATTTCTTGGGTATTTGCCATGTGCCAGCTACTATTCTACACACTCTCTGAGAATTGGCTCATTTCATTCTCATCTCCAGGCAACCGGATAAGGTCTGTATAGTACTCCCCTCTTTATATAGCAAAAGGAACTGAGGCGTGAGGGGTTAAGGAGTTCACCTACTACACAGCCAGTCAGGCAGGACTGCTACCG